CACCAAAACAGAATGCCTAGTCGCCACAGGTGGGGGGGGGTGGCAGAACTTTTTAGTTATTATTTTGAAAAGCATGAATTAACACACAATACACATAAGTTAATTCACATTGTTAGTATTGTGTTTTTTAGCAGAAATTTATTAATACATGTTTAATTTGGTGTTTACATCAAAATATATTAGTACCATAGTTTTCAAAACACTCTACTCTTTATTGTTAAACTCTTTAACATATTGTCTATCCTTAACGCATACTTCGAGGATTCGAAGCACATACATTTCAGTAATCCTTTAGCCAGGCGCAAAAAAAATTGGCACCCACGACTTTTGGAGGTCCTCACAAATGGAGAATCTTTAGGCGCAAAACGTGCCTGGCGCCCTGCTAATTTCGAACCCTAGCCTGGCACCTACTTCCCAAAGCCCAGAGTCTTGTTTAGTGGGCTTTGGGTTGGGAAGGCAGTGTAAGGGCTGGGGACGTGTGTCAATTTTTGGCCTCAATCCCCACACACACACATGAGGAACGGCTAAGGGAGCTGGGCATGTTTAGCCTGGAGAAGAGGAGGTTAAGGGGTGATATGATAGCCATGTTCAAAGATATAAAAGGATGTCAAATAGAGGAGGGAGAAAGGTTGTTTTCTGCTGCTCCAGAGAAGCAGACACGGAGCAATGGATCCAAACTACAAGAAAGAAGATTCCACCTAAACATTAGGAAGAACTTCCTGACAGTAAGAGCTGTTCGACAGTGGAATTTGCTGCCAAGGAGTGTGGTGGAGTCTCCTTCTTTGGAGGTCTTTAAGCAGAGGCTTGACAACCATATGTCAGGAGTGCTCTGATGGTGTTTCCTGCTTGGCAGGGGGTTGGACTCGATGGCCCTTGTGGTCTATTCCAACTCTATGATTCTATGACCAGGCACTGTGCGGTCCACACGTTCCGTGTTGAAGTACTTTTGAGGCCCACGTGCTATGAGAAGTTGAGCCACCCCAGTTCAGAGTGTCAACAAACCCAGGTTCAAAATCCTGTCCAACCATGAATGGGTGGCCTTGGACCAGTCACCATCTCTCAACCTAAGCTTCCTCACATGGTTGTTGAGAGACAAAAGGGGAGGGGAAGAGAGTGGTACTAGAAAGACCCTTGAACTTAAGATAGACTATAAATGTATTAAAAAAAAACACCACGCAAAATGATTAAGATTTCATTATATTTCCTCCCGCCCACAATGTTTCACAGGGTCCTTCACATTAATATAGTACATTTAAGTGTTTCTGAGTGTTATACAGCACTTTTGAATCACAGTTTGTCAGCAATACTCAAACACAACCTAGTAAGATAGGTGGGCATTTTTCATAAAATCATAGTGTTGGAAGGGACCCCAAGGGTCATCTAGTCCAACCCCCCCCAGCAATATAGGAATCCTGCCAACGGTTGTCCCTGGATGGGTTCGAACCACCAACCTTCTGGTGAACAGCCAGACGAAATTACCTTCTCATATTTATTTTGTTTCAAGATTAACATTCTTTGAAACCAAATAAACTCCCATGAGTACATCCACATCCACTGAACCAGTTGTGTTTACTTCTGAATAAGTATGCATAGGATCAAGCGTTTGGCAAGTTTGTGGCTGGGGCAAGGTTTAAATTTATCAGTGACTTACTTTCCAAACTTTTTATGTCGGTGGCACACTATTTACACATGCATCATTTCACAACACAGTAATTCAGTTTTGCACCATTTCGCGCCACAGTAATTCAGTTTTACTAGCAAACCAGAGGTTAAACTAACCCTTTTCCAGCCCCGGGAGGAGAGCGGGAAGCGTTTGCATGACACACCTACACACTGCAGCCGACACACTAACGTTGGGACTCAGCAAAGTAAAATTCAGTAATGTAAAAGTTTTGCATTTGGGCAAAACAGAAATCAAATGGCGATGCCTGCCTTGACAGTAACGCATGCGAAAAGGAGCTTGGGATTGCAACTGATCACAAACGGAAATGCGAGTCCGTGGTGTGATGCTGCGGCAAAAAAGGCCAACACAGTTTGAAGCTGCTATTCATAGAGCCATAGTTTCCAAGGGCCAGATTCAAGTACAGTGGTACCTCGGGTTACATACGCTTCAGGTTACTCCGCTAACCCAAAGTTCTTCAGGTTAAGAACTTTGCTTCAGGATGAGAACAGAAATCGTGCTCCGGCGGCACGGCAGCAGCAGGAGGCCCCATTAGCTAAAGTGGTGCTTCAGGTTAAGAACAGTTTCAGGTTAAGTACGGACCTCCGGAACGAATTAAGTACTTAACCCGAGGTACCACTGTACTCCGTTCCACTAGCAGCAGCCAGCAGAACTAAACTCTCAGTAGCCCATCCGGGCTTTCCTCTACCTCCATGAATCTGGGAGAACATAAAGTACAGTGCATTTTGGGGAAAGGGGGGTGGAGAGATCATTTCACTGTTTTGACAGAATGCTCTCGCTTGAAATGCACCCCCAAGTGCGCAAGAAGTAATAGCTGCACTTTATTCCAAGTACCACATCCAGTTCTGGCCTCCGCACTTAGGAAAAAAAGAACAGGTTCAGAAGAGGACACGACGAGCATGGCCAGTGGTATGGAAAACATGTCTTAAGAGGAAAGGATGGAGGGAGTTGAGTTATGTTTAGCCCGAATACGGAAAGATCAAGGTGGAAGACACACTCTTCAGATAGCTGAAGAGCTGCCACACAGAGGGGAGGTAAGAGAAGCTTTAATGGGAGATTTCGGATGCAAAAAAATTAAAAGAGGAGGAATCTCTTAATAGCACAAGCAGCTCAACAATGTCACCCGTTACCCGCACGAACTAGGACTGCAAGCAGATGGTTGGACAGCCTGAGGATGCTCCACCAGTGGGATTTCTGCATCGAGGAAGGGGGTGGACTACATGGCCTGCAGGAACAACCCCCCAGCTCTGCCAATTCTTAAAACAGGGGCATCCTAAGTCCTGGCCCTGCACAACCACACCAGCCCTACAAATCTGCGAGCGCTATCACAAATTACGACAGTCAGCAAACTAGGGAAAAAAATCAATTATCCGGAGTTCCTGCGGGTCGTGCTAAAAAAAGAAAAGAAAAGAAATCTCATACTTTTCGGGGGGGGGGGGGAGAGGCCGGGCGCTCTTTTTCGTTGGGCTTATTATTTTTGAAAAGTCCAGAAACAAAGGATTCAATCAAGTTAGCGACATGCTGGAGTCAGCTCTGGTGTTAAGACCGAGACAGTGGGGGGTGGGAGGGTGGGGCAGGGATTGGGGTGGGGGGGTTGTTGTCGTTTGTTTTGCTTGTTTTACAGGAAGGCAGCATTAAGCTATAGTTGCAAAGGAAGAACCGGGAGCCTTTCCGTTTCAAAACTAAGGAAGTAAAGGCTGTAGCATGGCTCCTGACAAACACACATTAAAAATAATAAATTATCTGCCTTACAGGAAACCTTGAATTCCTTTGTTTGCCCAGGTTTCTCTCTCCCCCCCCCCCGCCCCAACAACCCCTTCCATTTTAAATTAAGAGTAGGGGAAACTGAGGGAGAGATTAAGTATACAGAGAGCATTGGGGAACTAGCTTTTTCTTCCTCCTTCTCCCACTCCCAACCCCCAAGAACAGAAACAGTTGATTACAATAAGTCTGCACATCCTAAATAAAGGAACGAGGCTGTTTTGTTCTCCTCCACTCCCAAAAACCATATATCCACGTACAGAGAGATTATTTTTTTTTAAGGGGGGGGAAGCAAACACTCCCCTTTCGCCATCTCTCGCTGGACAAATCTGTTGTTCTGTTTGACACCCAGTCTATAAAGCGCCCCCTGGAAAGACTTCTGTTGTTTTTATTAACTGGATTTCTTTTCTTCCCTGTCTCTCTCTCTTTTTGTCCTCTACTCCACTCGTCCCTAAAAATCCGTCATTAAAAGAAGTAGGAGATTCCTGCTCTCTTTCGCACCTCTCTGCACGACCTAACCAACGCGAACCGCTCATTTAATAACAATAATTGTAAAAGTAATTGGATTTAGGTCAATTGCATGTGAAATAATTGGTAGTGGGGGGGGAGAGAGAGAAGAGGTTGCGGGGAGGAGTCTAAAGGAGTCGACTGGCACCGGATTTTCATAAAGGGCAGGTTCCTTCCCCCCCCCTCCGCCAATGTGAATTATGAAAATAGTAACCACACCTGCAAAGCACAGAAATGGGGGGGGGGGAGAGGAGAGAATATTAATATTTTCTCCTCCCTGAAAAATCCACTTTATTTTTCTAAAGGGAAGAAAAAAAGAAATAGGAGAGAATGGGGAAAAAGAAGAGATAGTAAAGAATGGATTTGTGGGAAGATTTTCAAAGAAGTAAAAAACCCATAATATATCCTCTCCCCCCCCCCTTTTTATCATCAAGTGTGGTGGCACGTTTCCCAAGCACGTTTCTCTGCTTTTCCAACCCCCCCCCCTTCCCTTGCTGTTCCTTCCTTGGACAGCAGGGTAAACACAGAGGGGAAGGGGCAAAAGTTGTCATCTTCCTGCTTCTTGAACAGGGTGGGGGAAACAACAACACTTTTTTTATAAAAAAAAATTACTACTTTTTATAACAAAAGGAAGGAAGAGCTCTTCCACCCTTGAGTTCGCAATCTCTCACACAAAATGACTTTAGCCATTCCCCCAATCCATTACACGTTTTACTTGGGAGGAAGCACCACGGAATTTACTTCCTAAGCAAAAAAAAAAAGGGGGGGAAGCAGGCACCAGATCAGATCCTTTCCCCCCTTCCAAATGGCGAAGGATTAGCGGGGGGGGGGTGCACAGAGAGAGAGAGAGAGAGAGAGAGAGAGGCAGACCTGGGATCAGCCACGCTCAGAGCAGCCCCGGTTGGAATTAATGGCCAGCCATGACTTCCCACTTGGGCCCATGCACTCCAACGGGCCTACTCCCGAGTAGGACTTCCTCAAAACTACTCGCGGCTCGTGCAGATGAGACGCCAAAAGAAAAAGCCCGCGGGATCCACGGAAAATGACTCACCAGGGTCGAAGTCGGGAACGACGGCTTGGTATTGGGGTCCCACTCTCATGCCTCCTCCTCCTGATGTGGAAACAAGCAAGAAGAAGAAGAATAAAATGCTTGCCATGCCTGTATTCCCAAAAGTCTGCAAGCTTTTTTCGGGTGGGGGGGGGTTGGCAAACTCTGCTCGATTTCCTCCCTTGCTTCCCTCCACCCCCGTTCCCCATTTAAAAATAAGAATGCTTGCTTTACAAAAACCATGCGCCTATTTCCAGAAGTCTGCAGAGTTTCCTCCCCACACCACCCCCTTCTCAATTTTCTCTCCATCCCTTCCTTCCCCCCCCCACCCCAATATCCCCGGGAGACTCACCATGCTCCTCATCGCTGGAAGACCCCGAGCTGCCCTCTTCCCAAGAGTTGGCGGCGCTGCTGCCATTGCCATTGGGCGCCGCCGCCGATGCCAAACTTTTACTATTATTCCCATTGTTGGCGCTGCCGGCTGCGACGGAGGCAGAGGCGCCCTGAGAAGCAGCGCCGCTCGCCTGGCTGCTGGCATTATTGTTCCTGCCCCTTCTTTTGCCTGAGATCTCCGGGCCCTTCTCTATCATGGCTGGCATTGGGGGTTGGGGGGGGAGGCAAAAAAATAAATAAACAGGAAAGAAGAAGAGGAGGAGGAGGAGTGTGAAGGGTGGTGGGGGGGATAGAGAGATAGAGAGAAGGTGAAAAGGAAAGAGTCAGAATTTAGAGGGAGGAAAAAGGGGGAATAGCAGAAGACGAGCGTGCTGCTTTCTTTTATTTTTTTCCTCCCCCCTTTTTTTGGCAAAGAAAGGGGAGGGGAAGCAAGCTGCAATTGCAAAGCTTTTTCCCAGAGGCTGCTTTTATTGCAATCTCCCTTCTCTCCTCTCTCCTTCCTTCAAAGAAGAAGGGGGGGAAATTCCCTGCAATGAGAGGAAGCCTCGAACTTTGAAGCTCATCCCCTCCTCTCTCTCTCTCTCTCTCTCTCTCTCTCTCTCCTTGCACTTCCCTGCACTGGGACTAGTCACTGTCAACCTGAGCTGCTAGCCTCCCCGTGAGCCGGCCCCCCTGCGCAGCCCATTGGCCGCCCACACATTTTGGGAAGCCTCCCCGCCACGCCATTGGCTCCGCCGAGCCGCCCGTCAAAGCCGGCCCGGCGCTTCCGTTTGCTCAGGTTAGGTGGAGAAGGCGGGGGGGGGGGAGAGAGCGTTCCCTTTGCAATCTCTGCGCCCAATGAGGCAAGGCTCGTTGCAAGGCTACACTGTGTCTTGACTGAAGCGAAAAGAGGAAAAGAAAGATTGCAATTAAAAAAAAAAATTAAAAGGGGAGTTTGGGGGCAGTGTTGGCAAATGCACTCTAGCCATGCTCAGGGGAACAGGGAGCTTGGGTGCAAAATATAAAAGGGTGGCGTAGCCGCAGCAAAAAAAAAAAAAAAGCGAGTTGCAAGCAATTTCTCGTGCTCACATATATTTCCCCCCCCCACCCCCACCTCCGCACCCATCAGAAGGGTGACGAGTAGCTTGGGACTATTTTTTCTCCCCCTCCTCCTCCTCCTCTTTGGCGGAAGGTTACTGGTGACACGCTGAACAGTTTGAATGGAATCTCCATACAAAGAAACTAAGATAATACTACGAAGTCGCTCGCTGTGGTGCGACGGGTGCCCTCGCCCCACTCGCGCGCGTGGAAAGATGTTGTTGCATTGTTCCCCACCCCCACCCCTTTTCTCTCTCTTTTCAAATGCCCCAAACCTCCTTTCTCTTGCGTGTAAAGTGAGAGCTATTGCTTCTTTACAGAGAAAGGCGGGGTGCGCGGATAGGCAAAGTCATCTGAATTGCTGGAGTTGTGTGGTTTTTTTCCTTTAGAAAAAGAAAAAAAAGCAAATTGCTTCTCCTGTCTGGTGGCGTGGAGTTGAGAGAGAGAGAGAGAGAGAGAGAAATACACAGAACCTTCCACCTTATTATAAATGAAGGCAACTTTCCCCTGCACAATTCCACACGAGGCAGAGAAGAGGAAGGGAGATGGGGTTTTTTCTTTCTTTTTGTAATGGTACTGCAGAACAAATATTCAGGGCAAGAAAGAGAAGGAGAAAGGAAACCCTGGAGGAGGTTTCAAATGCCTGGGGTGGGGTGGAAGAGACGAGAGACAGAGAACCCTCAAAATAATGTACCCGTCCAATCCACCCACTGGGCAAAGGGAGACATCGAAGGCCAATGGCATATTTTCCAAAGCTGTCTTAACATTTGATTCCAAAGTGAAAGAGGCTTCGCTCTCTTCCTTCCGTCTATGTACCCCCCCCAAAAAAAACCCTGTCTTTCCTTTCCCCCTCCCCTTCCAAAAAGAAAAGAGGAGGAAGGAATGGGGGGGTGGAGGCTCAGGGAAAGAATTTGTCAACATCTGACAATTTTTTCCACACGGGGGAAGGAGGAAAAAAGAGAGAGAGGCAGCCTTGAAGGGCTGAAGTTTCTGCATGTGGTGGCCTTTGTCTGGCTCCTCAAAGGCCTTTGGGAAGGAAAATAAACAGAACACAAAATATTGTTGATACCCAGGCTGTGAGCCCCCCCCGCCGCCGCCCCCCCAGCAAAGAGCAAAACCTAAAAGGCAGGTGAAATTTTATAGTGCAAAACCAAGGGGGTGGCTGCTTTTTTATTAAAAAAAATAATGAAAAATTGTGATATGAAATAGAAGAACTCCAAGCCTCACTCGTCCGGCAAAGATGAACCTGCCTGCCAGCTGGAATCTGCCTCCGAAATCCTTCCCGGCGGTGTTGTGCCACAGCCTTCCCCAACCTGGTGCTCTCTAGATGCTTTGAGCTACAACCTGCATTATTGTAGCTAGAGGGCACTGATGGGGCCTGTTGTTCATAGTATCCGGAGGGCACCAGGTTGGGGAACCTCTGGGAGAGGGCCAAATGCAGCCTTCCAGGAACTTTACCCAGCCTTTTTCCGCCTCGCTGGCTCTGCTTTGCGCTCCAAATGTTTCTGCCTTGAAATCTTGCATATCAGGATGGAGGATAGAGAAGGGTATAGAATCACAGAAATGTAAGAGTTGAGAGGGATGCCAAGGGTCATCTAGTCCAACCCGCTGCAATGCAGGAAACTCAGTGGAAGCATCTGTGGCAGATGTGTGTCCCAGTGCCTGCTGGGAAATGGTAACATTTGCATTTGTTGCTCCGCCTGCTTTTGCCTCTAGCCCTGCCCACCTCTGTCATGTGGTGAAAGCTGCCAGGAAGGGGATGTGTCCATCCCTGCTGGAGACAGAGCCTTTCCAGTGGTGGCTTTCCTGTTGCAAAACTCTCTGAGGGATAGCTCAGCGTGAAGCTCTTAATCTCAAGGTTGTGGGTTCGAGCCCCACACTGGGAGAAAGATTCCTGCATTGCAGGGGGCTGGGCTGGAACTGGCCAATCCTTGTGGTCCCTTCTGACTCTACAGTTCTCTGCTTCTCTGCTACACAGGTACACCAGTGCCCTGCAGGTACAGCCCAACTCTGCCCTGCTGTCTGTGCCTCCAATGTGTGGCATAATTGTTGTTGTGTTGGACTAGGACCTGGGAGACCAGGGTTTGAATCCTCTACTCAGCCATGAAGCTCACTGGGTTGACCTTGGGCCAGTCACCTACCTCACAGGGTTGTGGTGAGAATGAAATGGGGGGAGGGGAACCATGGGCGCCACCTTGAGATCCTTGAAAGGTAAAGGGTAAAGGGACCCCTGACCATCAGGTCCAGTCGTGACCGACTCTGGAATTGCGGTGCTCATCTCGCTTTATTGGCCGAGGGAGCCGGCGTACAGCTTCCGGGTCATGTGGCCAGCATGACTAAGCAGCTTCTGGCAAACCAGAGCAGCGCACGGAAACGCCGTTTAACTTCCCACCAGAGCGGTACCTATTTATCTACTTGCACTTTGACGTGCTTTCGAACTGCTAGGTTGGCAGGAGCAGGGACGAAGCAACGGGAGCTCACCCCATCGCGAGGATTCGAACCTCCGACCTTCTGATCGGCAAGTCCTAGGCTCTGTGGTTTAACCCACAGCGCCACCCGCGTCCCATCCTTGAAAGGTAAAGGTGGCATATAAATGTAGTGAATAAATAAAATAAATAATAACTTTTAATAAGGGTCGAGACACATTTAATTGCCTTCTGCTGTTTTGGTTCATTTTTAACCAGCCGGTTTTAGTGTTCTGCCTAATGCTCTGATGGTTTTTATGGTGTCCATCTTTATTGTTTTAAGCTACTTACTGTATGCTGGTTTCAGGGCTGCTGGCGATAAGGCAGAACAGAAATCTTAACAAATAAGAAAATAAATTAAGCCACTGAAGCACCCTACTTCATGTTGACTCAGAAGTAAGGTCCACTGAGCGCAATGTAGCTGACTTGCCAACTCTGTTAGGCTGTCAGGATGTGTTTAACACTCATCTATCTGCCCAGGCATTCCCAGGCCATCAATATTGGATAGGAAACACAGAGCAGCACCTACAGTGGATATGACTGTGAATTTTTGTGTTATGGTTCTGGTTTTTTCTGTTTTGTGGTATGGTTTTTACTGAATTGCACAATTCAATAAAAACGCTAATGTGCATTAGAATGGTTTTTATTGAACTGCACATTTAGCTTAGCGTTTGCACCTAACGCTAAGCTAAACTATGGTTTGAAGCAAACATGCAAGTGTGAGGATTCCTGGAGCGCTCACAGCTGCTGCTTTACATTTGCCACAGTCCTGCTGCAGTACTACCAAGCCGTGGTTTGGCTTAGCTGGTTGTCTGAACCCGAGTTCAAGGCTTCTCTTGCTCCTTACAGATCGTGAGCTGTAACCAAAGTTTGTCCTTGCATGCATAGCTTGTGGTTTGTCTGGAGGAGACAAACCATAAGTCCGGCTTTGGTCAACATCAACACGTAATACCAAACCATGGCTTGGCTCATAGCAGCAGGAAGATTAGGGAGAGGAATTGTAGCAGTCACCCGCCCCTCTCTGGGATGCCTCATACTTGTACAGTGGTACCTCAAGTTAAGTACTTAATTTGTTCCGGAGGTCCGTTCTTAACCTGAAACTGTTCTTAACCTGAAGCACCACTTTAGCTAATGGGGCCTTCTGCTGCCGCCGTGCTGCCGGAGCATGATTTCTGTTCTTATCCTGAAGAAAAGTTATTAACCCAATGTAATATTTCTGGGTTAGCAGAGTCTGTAACCTGAAGCGTATGTAATCCGAGGTACTACTGTATATTTGCAATGCTTTGGCAAAGCGCGGTGTATGAGCCAGGTCATTGTCTCTGTACACTGCTGTGGCATTTTTTTAAATACAAAGCGATATATGTGTGTTTAAAAATAAATGAATGCCTATTATCAGGATTGCAAGCCATAGTTTGCAGGATCATCTGCAGGAGTGCTGTTCGTCACTCCCTGGGCTGCTGAGGCTCATTTGGACAGCAACAAGAAAAGGAGACTTTAGTGTCATCGTTCCAGTTTTCTGGAATACTCTGCCAATGGAGATTGAGTCGGGGCCCTTCTATCTCAGCTTTCAAGTGCCTGCTGAAAACTTTTTCTATTCCACCAGGTTTATGCAGGCAATCAAGAATACACAGAATCGTAGAGTTGGAAGGGACACCAAGGGTCATCTAGTCCAACCCCCTGCAATGCAGGAATCTTTTGCCCAACATGGGGCTTAAACCCACAGCCCTGAGATTAAGAGTCTCATGCTGTACCTACTTAGTTATCATAAGAGTTAGCTGATCTCTGATTTAAAATAATAATAATATGTTTTTAATTGCATTGATTTTATTCATAGCTGTTGTAAGCTGCTTTCGTGTTTTTTTTATGAATAGGGGTATAGAACTCCCTCTCTCTCTCTCCCTATATATATATATATGAGAAAAGTAACTGCCAATCTGCTTCTTTATGCGTCTTTCAAGAAGTTTTATTGCCCTCTCCCATTAATAATAATAATAATTTATTATTTTTACCCCGCCCATCTGGCTGGGCCTCCACAGCCACTCTGCGTGGCTCCCAACATCATCA